TAGAGTTGTTCCTACACACTATTTTAAGTTCTTATAAACACAGATCTGTTTTGTCCTTCTGATATGCCCATTGCTTCTTGTACAATTACCACACTGTTTCAAGAATTATAGCTATAAAATATACTTTAATATCCGGAAGGGAAAATTATTCCCGCCAATCCTCTTTTGAAAACTTCCTAGCTATTCCACTGATTATTTTCTTTTTTCTTTTGAAACATTCTCAAACTTACAGAAAAGTTGCAGATCCAGTTCCAATGAATTTTCTTCCAGAACCACTTGAGAATAAGTTACTCTATGATGCCCTATCACCTGCAAACACGTTAGTATGTTTTTACAAGCAAGGGCACAGGAATTGAAAGTTAGTGTTGATGTATTACCCTCACCAGAAGCTCAGACCCCATTCGAATTTTGCCACTTGTCCCAATAATATCCTTTACAGCAAAAGGACCCAGTTCAGAGTCATGTATTGAACTTAGTCTTTTGTAGGTTTTTAAAAAAATTTCCTTTAATCTGGAAAAGTTATTGGGTCTTTTATTGATTTTTGTGAACTTTACACAAGGAGTATAGGCCAGTTATTTGTAGAATGTTCCTCAATTTGTGTTTATCGTGTATGTCTTCATGATGATATTTATGTTATCCATCTTCAGCAGGAATAGAAGTGACACTGTGCTCTCACTGCATTTTATCAGGTGGCACATAATTTCAATTTGTCCCATTATTCAGAATGTTTACTTTGATTGAGGTAGTATCTTCCAAGCTTCTCCAGCTATAGTTTTCTTTTTCCCTTTGTAATATACAAATATTTTGTTGTGAGCTATTTGTAACTATGTAAATATCTCTAAAGTCTCCTCTCCATTCATGTATTACTAGTGTGGATTCATGATTTCCTATTTTATTCTATGGCTTATAAGCAACTACTATCATTATTAATTTTAATTGATCATGAGATCCCCTTCAGGATTGTGTGTGTGTGTGTGTGTGTGTGTGTGTATCTCTCAGTTGTTCTTTGAGCACTCCCTTAGTTTCTGGCACAGCAATATTGCTGGTTCATCTGAGAATTTTCATGTCCACCCTCCAAACTAATCTGTGGTATCAGTTATTTCTCCAGAGAGCCCTGGTTCCTTTTAGTGGAGAATAGTATTTAGAATGAGTGCTGTCATTGCTACAGGAGTGTCATTGCTACAGGAGTGTCATTGCTACAGGTGCTATCATTGCTACAGGAGTGTTACTGCCTGGGCCCTCTCAGTGGACAGAGTGAGGGAATTTCCTTTAAACCAGTCCTGGAAGAGCTGCAGCTGGGGATTCAGCAGAGCTAGAAGCAAGGCCAGTGTCCAAAGTTTTTGTTCCATGGTGGAGCTGGGTCTGGTGCAGCATCAGGCTAGTCACAGTCCATCAGTCCATTGTGTGGGGTCCACATGGCTATGTGGGCAAATGCAGGGGAGCACCCCCCCCTTCAATGAGAGAGCCAAGAGCCCAGAAAGCAAGAGAGGGAACTCTTTTGTTCAGGAGCTTAAATATCAAATCTTCCCTTGCTTGCAGTGGCACATGCCTATCCTGGCCAGTGACCCCTTCCCAGGTGTGACTGACAGACAAGCACCCTCCCCTACATCACCCAAACTTCACTGGGCATGCGTCAGAATTGCAGCTTCCCTTTGCTCCTTTCCTGTTATTAATAACTGGGTTAATTACAATGCTATCAGCTGGAGCCCTGCTCATTCCACTTCCCGGAGCCCAGAGCCCTCCCCCACATCTTTCAAGTCCCCTTCCCTGTCCTGATGGGCTGGATTGTACCCCAGAGTTGCCTTTCAAAAACTTAGGTTGTAACAAGCATGCATAAATTTAGTCTTCTTAACTGAAGATTGAGAGATCTCAGGAAGGAGATTTGGGAGTCATGGGTGGTGAGGCTCAGCTTGGAATCTTCTCTCCCACTTCAGTAGCCTCTTTTCTGCTTACCTTTCCTTCCAGAATTCCCCAAGAATTCTTTTTCCTTCAGTGCATAGAATTCAATTGGGTTCCAAGGCTCAAATTTACGGAAACCCTAGTTCATAAAATGCTTTGTTCTTTGCAGAACAAAGAACCTTCCATTGTAAGGCAATTTTGCTTATAAATTTATTATAAATATATGTTATATATAATATGCATGATATATGTACAATGACATGCATCTTATATTGCATATTATATGTATGACATAATATACGTAAACATTATATATTTATAAATAACAAACACCTGGTTTTTCTTCTTTTGACTATATTAGGAATAATTAAGGCAATTTAGGGATAAAAGGGCCTGCTGAGTTTAGGGATAATTAGAGTCTGGGTCTCCTCAAGATTCACCCATTGTCTTGTGAAAAGCTGTTTGGCGTTGGCGGCAGAATTTATTTCTCAGGTGTAGGGTGTTTAGAATCTGGAAGTAGGAATTATGTAAACCATGCACCTTTAGAAACATCAGGGCAAAATGGCTTTTCAAAGATTTGAGGCTTTTTTCTAAGATCATGATTAAATAATAAGCAGGGGGGCGGGAGGTAAGGGAGGGAGGGAGAGATCCAAAGAGTAGCTCACACCGACTTTCCTAGTTAACCCCTCACCTGTGCAGGTCGACTCAGATTTGATTTCTGTGTATTTTGACTCTAAATAAACCACATAGAAAATGTAAAAATGAACGCAGAGTACTCATGCCAAGGAGCAGCAGCTATTTCAAGGATCCCACGCGATTGGAATACGCTTTACTCCTCGAAAGCTTTGCCCTGGTGCCTTAGTGGGGTGCAGGAAGAGGGCTGGACGGGCGCTCCTAGCAGTGACCTTTTGGGGGGCGCTCCGCCCTCTAAACGCCGAGCGGCCGGGAACCGCAGCCCCGGCTGCTCCCGAGCTTCCCGCGCGTCCCT